CAACTGACTTCTAAAGAGGTTTCTGGGTCAGAGTTGTTTTTGGAATCGAGCTACTTAGTTGTCTATAAATTATAGTAACAGTCTCTTCTGTGTTAAAATGAAAGCTGTGATATACTGGGAAAATTAGACATCAACACTGAAAAATCACAGTGAGGCCTTCTAGAACATTCTGGAAAGTGTGTTAGCTGGTTGGAAACAGGGAGATGAAGGTACCAGGCCCAGAGCCTCCGGATGTTATACCACAGAAGCATTGTCTCATCTCTCTTCCCTTCTGCCTCACACAGAGCACATTAAATTGAGTAATACATCCCACAGACAGCTTGGAAACACATAGATTTTTTATCATGCTATGCTGTCAGGAGAACCTGTGAATCTTATAAATGAAAGACAAGTCTGTACATATTTATTTATTTTTCTCCTCATTTTTATACTCAATACCTGTCCACTTTCCAAGCACTAGCTACAGACGTCCTGTTCAATTTATTCCTGGTCACAAAAATCTTTTTTATACTTCACTCTTCAAAAATTATCTGGTCCTTTCCCCTTCACTAAGCAGAAATGCATGCTGGTACAGTCTGGCTTGGGTTTTCCATAAATAGCACCAATGGGTTTTCTCCTGAGCACTCTTCAACCTCATCTCTACCTCTAAAGGCTTTATTTCCAAAACAATTGAAAGCAGCAGCAGCAACCAGAGGCAAAATGTCGGAGTCTATTTTCAGCTCAGTCTACGACACTAAGATAAAGGGGCCAAGTGAGTGGCCAGTGTGTGAAAGCCTAACACAGCCCAGGACCCTACCCCTCTGTTCACACCTGCCTTAGTGTACTCACAGCTGTTTGAGACTAGGTGGGGCCTCTGACTTGCTTCCAACAGAGAGTAGAGCAAGTGTGCAGGAACTGTGTGAGTCATGAATGACTCCAGTATGTTCTATGAGAATGATAAAGTCAGTCCTGCAAGCAGATACCCTCTCTTGCTGGCTTTTAATAAAGATTTCTTATACTTTATTTGTGTGTGCACGTGTTGAGTGTTTGTGCCATGGCACTCTTGTGAAAGTGAGGGGACACCTTGCAAAAGTCAGTTCTCTCCTACCACAAGGCTCCTGGGGACCAATTCAGCTCGTCAGGCTTGGCAGCAAGCACCTTTACCCAGCTGGCCCTCTTGATGGCTTAAAAAAATATTTTCTTAAAAAAAAAAAAAAAAAACTTTGTGTGTGGAGGGGACGGTAGTGGTGGTGAATGTGCGTGTGTGTCTGTGTGTGTAAGAGATGCTCATGCCTGTGTACATGTGTACACAGAAGGACATCGACTGTCCTCTATCACTGTCCACTCTATTCTATTGAGACAGCCTCATGCTGAACCTAGAGCTAGGCTGGTGGCCAGCAAGGCCCAGTGATTTTCCCGTTTGTCCCCTCTCCAGTGCTAGAGAAACAGGCATACATAGCCACATTCAGCTTCTTCCATGGGTGCTAAAGATCTGAACTCAGGAACTCATGCTTGTATGGCAAGTACTCTTACCCACTGAGCCAGTTCCCACCTTTAGTTGCTTTTATTTTATATAGGGTTTACTGTGTGTCAAGTTGGCCTTGAACTTGCTATGCAAGTTCTGATCATCCTGTCTCTACCTTCCAAGTGCAGGGATTATAAGCCTGTACCACCATTCCCTATTTATATGGTACTGGGAATCCATCCCAAAACCTTGTGCATGGTAGGGAGGCACTCAACCAGCTGAGCTGCAGCCCAGCCCCAGATGCCGGCTGTGATGAGTGGAAATGTTGGGAAGACTCAGGGAACAGGGAACTGAAGGTAGCCTCAAGCTAACAGCAGCAAAAACTGATGACCTCAATCATTACTCAAAAGGAACTGATATCTGCTAACATCCATTTGGAAGCAGACTATTCCCACAGAGCTTTGGAGGAGGCATAGCCCTGGTTAGTACCATAACTGCTGCCTTGAGAGACTGTGAAACAAGATCCTGCCAAGCTGTGACCACCTGTTAACCCACAGGAACTGAGCCTAATAATGTATGGCATTCCCAGTGACTACAATTGTGGTCATACTGATATACAATTGTAGGTAACTGTTCAAACAACCCGAGAATGTAAAAAGCAGCCCTGGACATCTGAGAACCAGCCTGGCACCATCAGCAAGGCTGGAAGTTAAGCTGCACTATCAGCAAGCTTTGGTAGTAAATATAAGCACCTTCAAAGAGTGCCAAGATCAGATCAGTCCACCTTGTGACTGAGAGCGAGAAAAGCCTAGGCAGAAACATGGCCACTTAGTCACATCTGAACAGGGACCAAACATAGTGTTCAAGTCAGAGAAATGACCAAGCAGCCCTTAAACTGGTTATTTTACATTCACAGCTTTAACCCTGATTCTTCCTTTCTGTCTTATATATAAGATGTACTAAGAGTCATATTCATAGACACTTGCTTGTATTATCCAACACAAAACAAAGTCCCATATACAGACTCTTCCCAAACCAGAAAAGAATATCCTGTCTCTGTTTCATAAGTACTGGGATTAAGGGTATGTACCACCATGCCTGGCGTGCTGGCACCTTTCTAACACCATCTTACTAGGTGCTCTGCAACTCCACCTGGTGTGTGTGTTCTTCCTCAATACAACCAGCAGTAAGCCCAACTCGTGCCATCACAGATGTGGTCCTAGTTGAAAGCAACTAGCCTTTGGCTAGAGAGTTCTGGCAAAAGAGTAAGACGCAAACAAACTAAGCAATAACTAGATTTCATGAAAGAACTTGAATGAAAATAGAACCATGATAAAACTAAGAATGCATTTGTACTTTAAATTAGATACAAAACACAAAAGGAGAATAAAGCTTAAGTATGTCACAGTGAGTACAAAGATCTTACTTGACAAGTAGTATGAGGGTAAGCAGATAGGATGGCAAAACTGGGATGACCTGGAATTCAGAGTCACTGAAATCTAGTTACAGAACTGAGTATAATTTAAAAAGACTGTTGAGAGATGAGATGGCCCTCACCATCGGTGAGATGGCCCAGTGGATAAAGGTGTTTGCTGCCAGTCCTGGCAACCTGAGTTTGATTCCTGGGACCAACATAATGGAAGGAGAGAATCAATTCCCACAAGTTGTCCTTTGACTTCCACTAAAGTATTGTAGCACATGTGTTCACACACATACACAAAATAAATAAATAAAGGAAGGAGAAACTTCCTTTAAAGCATGAGCTGAAATATAATGGGCTGTTTTATCAGATCCATGTTAAACAATGAACTTCTCATTTGGAAGCAAAAACAAAAAGATTGATCAATTAAGGCATAAATTCCCAGCATAGAATAAGAACAGAAAAATAACCCATACATTCTTATTTGGTTTTTTGGGAACAGGGTCTCTCTGTAGCCCCAGCTGGCCTAGAACTTACTATGTAGACCAGGCTGGCCTTGAACTCAGAGATCCACCCACCTCTGCCTCCCTAAGCACTGGGATTAAACATGCACCACTGTGCCTGGCTGACCTTCTAGCATCATATGGTAACAAAATACTTAAATGTAGGATATATACTTGATTCAAAATTTTAAGATAGCTTATCCCTGAATAGGATATCTATATCAAACTTTTGCCTCTCACCGCTCAGGCATCATTGTGGAAGAGGGATCAGAACGATTATAAGAGCCAGAGGTGGTGGATGACCATAAGGAAACAGTTTCCAGACAGTTGGTCAGTTACTCATATGAACTCATAGCAATGTTGACAACATGAATAAATAAGGTCAAGTCAGACAAAATCCCAACATAGACTTGGAGAAGTGGGTAAGGAACCCCAACCCTATCTGAGGAACTACTGACAATTGATGACTGCTGGGAAGAGGAGACTCATTCTCATTTAAGGGAGAGAGTCTTGGTAGGTTGACCAGGCTCCAGTGAATGAACCCATACTGAAGGGCATTTGGGGACATAAACCTGACTCTATAGGGACACACACACACACACACACACACACACACACACTATATTAGAGTACAGAAATTTGGGGGGACTAGAAAGAGGGGTACAGATATAGATATGTAATTGATTTAAATACGATCAAAATATATCGTATGAAATTCAGAAAAAAAATTTTAAATATTTAATTTCAAGATAAATATCATCTGCACAAAAGAGAAATGAGTGAGGTCTATAAGGGAACATGAGGAAACAGAGTAAAACAGAGTAAGCAAAGCACAGAACCACTTTTGATCCCAGAGGGGCTGAAGTGGCGTATTTTGCAGCTATGACCCAGCAAGTTGGACAAATGAACACTGAGCTAGAAATGCGGGCTGCGAAGACAGCTTGGTCAGTAAAGCGCCTGCTGTGCAAGCAGAAAGTCCAGAGCTCGATCCCTGGGACCCCTGAAAAAGTGGAAGGAGAGAACCGACTCCACAAACTTGTCCCCTGACACGCACCCACACACACAACAAAAAACAACACATCAGTAATACAATTTTTAAAAAAATTAAGAAAACGATTAATTCATTACTGCCTCCCTGAAATATTCCAGGTCCTTTCCTCTCTTCTTAGGATAGAAAGAAACAAGTAATGCTGAAATGTGACTGAGGCTTCTGTTCATTCTAGTCTTTTTAATAACGTCCAACAAAACACTTTGCCTTGGGCTTGGCTTCAGTTATGGCATCTATCTCCTAACCGTGAAAATCCTCCTTCCTCAGCCCACTCGCCACACCTTGCCCGAGTTATGAGAAGTGCAACAGGGAAGGAAAGATGGCTGCCTGGACTGCAGGCAGCAGGGGATCAGATGTGCGTGCTGCTCTGGAAGACAGATTTTTCTCTTAATAGTGATAGAAAAGAAGAACAGAATGAATGTAGCTCGTCGGCAAACGCAATGTCTGTGTGTGGTCAGGCCTGGTGTCCGTGCTTCAAACAAGCCTGGCTGATGAACTGGACACTGTGACTGCAGAGGTGGGAGGGGAGGCAAAGCCCTGGGCATTCATTACATGAGCCCCAGGATCCTGCAGGCACCAACCTACCTTCCCTGCGTATTCAGATACAATCTGCTTGATCTCAGCTGAGCAGAGGCCCACGATCTGCCCCACGGAGCTTGCGGTGAGACGGCTCTGCAACCAAATGAATTGTGTTCTCAGGGCACATTTGTCTATCACAGAATTGAACATGGCGTGTGATTGCAAAAAAGCTAGTATTCCCCTGGAGTGGCCTGGCTTTCGCCACTGACTCATCTACAAGACTCAGGACAAATGTCATAGCCACCCCTCTACCTCTCAAGTCAGCAGCTGTGCTAGCTTCTCCCTGGGGCCACCTCTCCATCTCCTGAGTCACCTGGGGGTTATTAGTTTCCCGAGGCCCTCTGTGCCACGAGTGGCACTACCTCTCCATCTCCTAAGTCACTCACTGGCTGTACTAGCTTCTCCTCAATACCCCTGGGGCCTCCTCTTCATCTCCCAAGTCACTTGGGGGTTATACTACCTTCCCCTAAGGCTCTCTGTACCACTAGTGGCACTACCTCTCCATCTCCAGAATCACTCAGTGGCGTACCTACTTCCTCTGGAACCCTGGGTACCCCTGGAGCTACCTCTCCATCTCCTGAGTCACTCAGCTAGTTGTCTTTCCTCTCCCTTGGGCCCTGGGTACCCTTGCTAGCTCCCCCTCAGGCCCTTGGTATCCCTAAGGCCACTTCTCAATCTCCTGAGTCTCTTAGCTGGCTGTATTATCTTTCCCTTAGACCCCTAGAGCCTCTTCTCTATCTCCTGAGCCTCTTCCTGGTGGTGTTAGCTTTCCCTGGACCCTGGATACCCCTAGAGTTAGCTCACCATCTCCCGAGTCACTTAGCAGCTATCCTAGCTTCCCCGCGGGTCCTGGGTACCCCTGGAAAACCATCTTTTTCTTTTCCATCCTCATGCCCAGGCCTCCTGAGGTCACTAAGCAGAGACTGCTGGACACTCAGGGGGCCTGGGACTGAGAGACAAGAAGAATCAAAGGAATCTCAGGCCCCTAAAGTATCTCTTTTACTGCCACAGGCCTTTCCTGGCCTTGAAAGAAATGATCCCATCTAAGGGCATGGCTAAACCTGCTGGGAGAAGACCCACTAGCACCCTGGGTTCTATATCCTACATAGCTGGTGCCAGAAGAAGATAGGGGCTCCCATGTTATGGACCTCCTCTGAAGAGGCCATGAGTCGTCCCTGCAGGGACATCCTGCCCTCACAGAGGTCCTTCAAGTCTCCTTCTGAGACATCCAGTGCTATGAGAGGCCAATGCTATCCATTATAAGAAGCTCTCTACAAGGCAGCCCCTCAGCAGCAGGGCCCAGGGCTGCTGATGTCAGAGGTCTCGGGGATGGGGTTCTCCCTAGGCTCCCTAGCATAGAGCAGAGTCGTGCCAAGTCTCTACCTCTACATGTCCCCACAGCCCCATGCCTCACCTCATTTGCCATGGCAGTCATCTTGGTCATCAGTGACTGAATACGTTGCTGAAAGAGGAACAGAAGGACAGTGGTGAGTGGTTCTGACCACAAAAAGTGAGTGCCTGAGCGGGTCTCTGTGGTGAATTCTCATGGTTGTTTTCTTGATTTGGATAAATGGTAAACCTCATGACACTTCAAAAAAGGGAACTGTGAGACAAGGAAGGAGTTCGCAGCAGCTGGCCACTTGGGTAACCTGGGGATGGGAGTTCAATCTCTCCTCAACTGTGACCGAAACTGTAACCTCAGGGATCACGCACCTCTTCAGCTGCTTGAAGCTCATCTTCCTCATGGGCATCTGTTTTTTCTGTGGCTAAAAGCCCTGCAGCAAGTGTCGATTTCTTGTCCTCAGCCTAGAAGGGAAGATAAGGGAATGGCTGAACATCAGAGCTGGAGACTCAGCAGAAAAAGGACAAGCTTGCAGAGAGGGAAGTTACTGTGATAGAAAACACACGGATCTGGAGAGAGAATGGATAACCCAGGGGTTTGAGGTTCTGCTCCCGCCACAGAGTGGGCAGGTCAGGCATCTGGGGCTGGCAAAGCTGGACTGCATTTCCAATAGCTTACTGAAGTGAATCCTGGGCCATGTCCATCTGCTGGATTTCAATCATCTGATCTCTAGCTCTGGGATGTACTTGCTCCTGAACTGCAGAGGCAGCAGGTTGGAAATACCAGGATGATGGCCATGCAAGGGACAATGTGGCTGGCACATCCCTGGTGCCCTAGCCTGCCCAGTGCTTGGTTGGCAGCCCTGCCACCCCATACCTCCTAGGTTTCCCAGGGAGCCGCTGCCCACTCTCAGCATCATGAAAAGGCCAAAGGACACTGCTACCACCTCCCATGTACTCTCACTCGTGGGATTTTCTTACCTTCTCTGTTTTGTTCTGGCGACTAAATCCGTATCTTCTGCAGGCCATAAAAAGGGAAGAGTCCAATTACCATTTCAAAATCACAAGAAATTCTATCAAATGCATTTTAGTTAGTCTCGCTTTCTCTTTCTCTCCCTGCCCATTTGTGTGTGTACATGTGCGCACACACATGCACGTATGCATGCATACAGAGACCAGAGACTGACAACTCTTCACCCTTTTCTGAGAGTCTCTCACTTAACTTGGAGCTCACCAATTCAGCTGGGCATGTTGGTCGGGTCCTATCTCCACTTTCCCAATGCTGGGGTTACAGACACAGGCCTTTGTACCTGGCTTGTGGTGGTTTGAATGAGAACGCCCCATAGGCTCCCAGTATTTAAATATTTAGCCCCAGTAGGTGGGGCTGCTTGTGGTGGCTTAGGAGGTGTGGCCTAGCTGGAGGAAGCACCTCATTGGCAGTGGGCTTAGAGAGGTCACAACCATGCGGCACTTTCAGTTTCACTCTCTCAGCTTCCTGTATGTGCTTAAAGTTGTGAGGGCTCAGCTTTCTGCTCTGACTGCCTCCTGCCATGTTTCCCTGCCAGGATGGACTCTCATCCCTCTGGAACATAAGCCTAATAAACTCCTCCTTCTATAAGTGGCCTCTGTCATGGTGTTTTACCACAGCAACAGAAAAGTAACTAATACATGGCTTCTATATGGGTGGTGGGGATTGAACTCAGGTCCTCATGAATGCATGGCAAGCATGCTACTGACTGCGTAACTCCCCAGCCCTGAGATGGATTCTTCAATGAAAAGCACCAAAGAGTGATTATGGCTATTTGGTGCTTGGAGGAACTATTCAGGTGCCTTCTCCAAAAACATATCCTGCCAGATTTTGACTAAACAACTGAGCTAAAAGAAAGCACTTGCTCAGACTGCAGGACATAACAGTCCAAGAACACTTGCTATTCTCTGAATCAAGAACAGCATCCCAGATACCTTCCGCCAGCTAAAGTCCTTTAAAATAACCACACAAACAGACATTAATGTATTTCCATAAGTGGAACATGCACGTTCACACTATTTTAATGAGTTCAAGTCATGCTCATGTTTAACTTTCAAACATAACCCAAGCACGATGTAAGCACTGTGCACTCACTTCATGCAGCCTAAGACACATGAAAGCATTTCAGCTTAAGTTAGTTATTTTATGGCTTAAAAAAAGTATGTTTTCTTTTAAAATCAAATATAACAATACAAAAACTATTTGACTTAAAACAAAAGGCATAATATAAAACATCAAACCTCACAGACTTTAGTTTGGGAAGAAATAAAGTTGCATATAAGCATTTAAGAAAAATAAAGTTTTTGTTCTGCCCCTGCTCAAGGCCATGCCTCAGGTCCTAGGTCAGTGTGCTGTCTTCATTGGTTGGGGGTCTGCAGCCTCACCCCCTCCTGCTCTTCATATCCAATCTTACATTAGCCATATCTACTCTTAAGGACAAAGATAGGCAGGCCCCTTTCCTTGGAGGAAACAAGACTCCTCAGCAGCCTCTCTATAGATCCTCCTCTTCTTCCTCCACTTTTCCCCTCCTCCTTCCTCCCTCCTGGATCCTGTTTGACAACTATTCAGCCTCACCCCGGCAGCTCTTGCTCCATCTACTGTCTGAACAGAGCTTTGCTCAGTCTGACCAGTTCTGGCCTTCCAACTGCATCTCTGTGTCTCCAAAGCTTCCAGGCCTGTAAGAGTAAAAGCTTTGCAGTATCGATGCCCGTACAGGCTTCCTGCCCTCTCCCAATGGCCATTATGACCCATCAGGTGCAACTCTGCAGCTTTTCCCTGGAGAGCAATGATGCTACTTTTAGTTTGTACTTTCAATGTCTGTTGAATGAATAAATATAAATGAAAGGAAATGCAGAAGTTAAGATGCCGTAAGCGCCACCTAACCTTGCAATAGGCTGCCACAAAACTGGAGAGAGAGAAAAAAAAAAAAATAGACATCACTGGGCTGTGAGCCTAACTGGATCCCCACACAAACTCTGGGAAGGATCTTATGGCAGCCTGTGAGTTGGCTTGATCAGTATTGTGGGATTAATAGGGAAAACCCATACCTGTATTAAAGATAGCACAAGGCTAGCTAGAACTTCCTGAGCATGGAGAGGTGAACGATGCAGCAGAGCAGAACTATTTGGGCCATCTTTAGCCCCATAAGCATACCAGTAGCTTCCTCACTAAACCTGTTATCTGACATCTGACAGCATCTGTGCCCCATAGGGAGATTTCTTCACTTTGGTGTTAAGGCCAACCAGATGAATTTGAAGGGAAAAATGTCTTTTGTTTTGTATATACAAGAACTTCAAGAAACCATTTCCATATAGGAATGTGCTCCTTGGAACAAACTGCATCTATGTTCCCAGGTCATGGCCACCCACCTTTGATTCAAGAATAAACTGTTTTTTTGTTTGTTTTTTTTGAGACAGGGTCTCACTATACAGGACTGGCTGGCCTGGAACTCAGTATGTAGACAAGGCTGGCTTTGAACTTACAGAGATCCATCAGGCTCTCATTCCCAAATGCTGGGATTAAAGGTATGTGTCATCACATCCAGTGTGGGGGGCGGGGGGAAACACTTCTAAGGCTAGGCATACAATTCCATTAGTAGAGTGTTTGCCTAGCATGTACAAAGTCCTGGGTTCTATCTCCAGCAATATGTAAGTTGGGCATGGTGTCAGTCAAATGCATTTTCTGCAGCTGTGAATGTGGAATGGTTAAATGAGATGCAAAAGACACAGAGGACCCAATGGGTTGGGCTGGATCACACCAGCAGCAGTAAGGGTCTGGCCCCAGTGGCTGTCGGCAGCTTCCCAATTTTGAGACAGAACATCCTGATTTTGGCAGGAGTTATGTCGTCCCCTTGCCTGCAGCTGCAGCACCAGCTTCCTGACTCTCCAGGCTGCTAGCTAGCTTCCTAACCACGGAGACCCAGGCAGCATCCTTTGCTCTACTCTGCTGTGAGGCTTAGGAATCAGTCCTGGCCGGGCCTAGCTCCCTGAAACTTCCTTCAGAACACTGTGTTCCCAACCAGGGAAGCCTGATAACACTGGTTCTTCAAAGCATCTACTCCTACAAAATGTCCTTGCATCTACCAAATCTGGCTTGGGGCACAGCTGTGACACTGCCTCCCCCGCCAAAAAAAAAAAAAAAGGGCCACATGCAGCCCACGATTGCTATGAATGTGGCCCAACAAAAAACTGTAAACTTATTTAAGACATTCCAGGGGGGAGGGGCTGGTAACTCAATTGCACAGGTCTTTAGTGTGTGTGTGTGTGTGTGTGTGTGTGTGTGTGTGTGTGTGTACCATGGCTTGCATGCAGAGGTCAGAGGACAACTTTGGGTATTGATCCTCATCTTCCACCTTGTCTGAGACAAGGTCTCTTTTGTTTACTGTATATGCCAAGCTACCTGACCTGTGAGCTCCCAGGAATCTCCCTGTGTAGGGACCTAAAGGGACCTTGCATAGGTCCGAAAGGAAGTTACTGGGGGCGCGGCCTGGCTTGCTTTGAAAGTCTGAAGAATACTTCCACACTGCTGAGGAGTGCATGATCAGCGCATGATCATCCTTAAGATATACCCTCGGGGGGGAGGGGGCATTTCCAGGTGCCTTTATAAGTTCTATAACACCTGCAATAAATGAGTCCCTGCTACTGGGGGCGGCGTAGGCTGGCGAATGGTGTGCTTACTTATCCCCAATCATCACCTCCCCAGGGGTCTCTGGTTCGAACCCCTGGCATCCCTGTAGGGATGCTGGTATTATACTCACTACTACACGCATGTGCACATGTATCTGGGAGAGCAGAGGAAGAACACAGGTATCATTCACAACACCATCTACTTTTGAGACAAGGTCTCTCGCTGATCTGGAGCTTATTCGTCAGCCTGGGTTGACTGTGGCAAGCCCCAGGGATCTGCGTGTCTCTGCCTCCCCAGGACTGGGATTACATACTTTTACACACCATCACACCCAGCTTTTTTATGTGGATTCTGAGGACTGAATTCAGGTGGACAAGCACTTTACAAACTGAGCCATCTACCCAGCTAATTATTAATAGTTCTTAACAAGGGGTTGTACATTTTAATTTTGTACTACCCCGCCCCCCACCCCCATTATGTGACTCATCTCTGGTCTGATTAGTCTCTGACTCAGAAGACACACTTTATTCTCAGCAGCAAATGAAGAGCTGAGGGCAGCCATCACATCTGGCCTAAGACCAGAACCAACTCAGCTGTTTTTGAAACAGATTAGTTTTACTTGTGGAAAGAAAAGACTTGACTTCTGCAGTGGTTTGAAGGAAAATGTCCCTGACAGGCTCCAAGTATTTGAACACTTGGCCTCACTTGGTGGTGCTGTTTGAAGAGGTGAGGGTTAGGAGGTGCAGCCTTGCTGAAGGAAACATGTCACTGGGGATGAACTCTGAGAGCTCACAGCCTGGTCCCAATTCGAGCTTCTCTAAGCTCTTTGCACATGCTTGAAGATATGAGCTCTCAGCTTCCTTCTCTGGCTGCCTCCTGCCATGCCCTGTGCCAGGATGGACTCTTATCCCTCTGAAACTATAAACCCAAATGAACTCTTCCTTCTATAAGTTGTCCTAGTCATGGTGTTTTATCACAGCAACAGAAAAGTGACTAATATACCCTCAGATCATCACAGAAGAAAAAGAAAAGGGGAGGAGGGCAGAGAAAAGGCATAGCAGGTAAAGGCACTTACCATGCAAATCTGGTAACCTGAGTTTGATCTCCGGAACCCATACGGTAGGAGAGAACCAAATCCAAAAACCTGGCCTCATACCTATGCTGTAGCATATGCACATCTGCTGTTCCCATACACACAGCATAGGAACACACACACACACACACACACACACACACACACACAGACGAATGAATACAAAAATTTTAAAGTACTGTCTTTCCTTGGAAAACTAGAATAATTAAGCCTGATTCACCCTCTTCCCTAGAGGAAGGGTCATGAGATGCTCACTCAGGGAGAGGCTAGTGTATTAGTATCAGTGTGAACCCGGGCTGGGATACGCAGGAACAGCACACTGGAAGCTCTCCCTGCACAAGGCAGAAGAGGGTACTCACAGAGAGGGATCAGCTACCCTGGGTAGAGAATGCGGGACACAAAGGGAGGTTAATACCCAGTGCTCTGAACAGAACCAGGTCCTCGAGGTTTGTTAAGTTAAAAATTACGGCTACAAAAAAAAAAAAAAAAAAAAAAAAAGTTTCTGAACTAAATAGGTAACAAAATTTCTAAGGTTTTTGTTTTCCCAGTCAAGACAATCTTCACAGAAATCCTAAATTATTATTATTGTAGGGCATGGCATAAAACTGTTGGAAGTGCTTCCATGTCTTGTCTGTCTGAAGGTTTTAATAAAAGGAGGGGCAGGAAAGGCACAGCAGCTCCAGCCTCTGTCTATAGTTCTCCTAGCCCACCAATTCCCCAAAGAGGTTAGAGACTGTGTACAGTGATACCCACATTTTCAAAGAACTACAAAGGCTATGCACAGAAACGCATGCTCTTCCACACCAGACAAATGTTACCCGATGAAAAATCTCACAGCTGGGAACTGTAGACTCAACCAGATGGAAGCCACACAGTTAATCCAAAGGAAGAAATTTAAATTAGCTTCTTTTCATGTGCATGTGTCTGCACATGCATGTGAAGGCCAGAGGACAATCTTGGGTATTGTTCTTCAGTCACTGGCTACCTTGTTTTCTGAGACAGAGTCTCTCACTTGGCCTGGAGCTTGACTATTTGGCTAGGGTGGCTGGTTAATCAGCCCCAGGGATCAACCTGTCTCCATATCCCCAGTGCTGGATTACAAGTGTGCACCACCACACCCAGCTTTTTTACATGGGCTCTGGAGTTCAAAGTCAGATCCTGATGCCTACAAGGCAAGCACTCTGTTGACTGAGCTATCTCTCCATCACTTTACTGATGAAGCTGTCTCTTCAGCCTTAGCTTTTCTCTGAAACAGTTTTATGAAACAGACACAGGTCTGGGGCCCATTCTGTACCTGCCATATTCCAAAAGCGTGGCGTGGACTCGGGACTCCTCATCTGGCAGCTCCTCTGCACCCTGCTGGCGTTTGTACTTCCGACGGGGCTTGTAAACATCCTGAGTGGACAAGAAAGGCAAGTTGTGATGTGTAAGAGGCTCCCCTGGACTATGGCTGGGTGCCTCCAGCCAGTTATAGGGAGTGGATCTTCCTCATCACAGCCTAGGTCTAAGCTCTGCTGCAGGATGGGGGACACTGGAAGCTCACATTAGGAACGTCAAACACAGAGGTGACATGTGATGCTTATTTCTAAATGTCAACTGAACACAGCCTAGAACCACCTGGGAAGAGGCTCCATGAGGGACTGTCAAGATCAGGTTGGCTATTGGGCATGTCTGTGTGGGACTGTCTTGATTGCCCTATTTGATGTTGGAAGATCCAGCCTGAAAGTGGACGGCACCATTCCCTGGTTTTGGGCCCTGGACTGTGTAGAGTGGAGGAAGTGAGCCGAACACTAAGTATGCATGCATTCATTTCTCTCTGCTCTTGGCTGCGGTGGGATGAGCTGCCTTGACTTTCCCACAATAATGTATCGAGACCTGGAATGTAAGCCAATAAACTCTTTCACTTCTAAGTTGGTTTTTAGCCAGTGTGTTTTATAACAGCAACAGAAATGAAACTACAACATGAGGTTTAGGGAAGCTCGGTTGAGAGATCACAATCAGCTGCCTGTACCGACCCACAATGACTCAAGGATCATACACCTCATGTGGTAAAAGGAAAGAAAGTACCACCGTCAAGACAAAAGCTCACCAACAAAAGTCTGCCCTCTGTTCTTACTTTTTTGATATGGGATCTCATGCAGTCTAGCTGCTTTTAAACTCATCGTGTATGAGGATGTCCTGAGGATATGCACTGAGGATGACCTTGACGTGATTCTCCTGCTTCTTCCTCCAGAGAGCTGAGATCACAGAATTCACAAGCAGAGCTTTGTGCATGTTAGGCAAGCACACTACCAAGTGAATGACATTCCCCTACCTAGTTCTTAACTTTTTAAGTAATTAAGAGTTGTGCTCACTGAAAAAAGTATAAGTGCATAATGTACACGAGTCCCCACCCAGTAAGGTCACACCTTCAGCATTTGCTGTGTAGAGTTCCATGATAGTCAGAGAAAATAGTCAGTGTTTTTCTTCTGTGCAGAAGTGAAATGGGCAGTTGTAACAGAATTTCAAAATCCAGTATGATCAGCTTTTGTTACATATATTCCCCTAAAAGATTTCACATGTATAAAATAATTAATGATTTAATTTATGTGTGTTTGAATGTGTGTCTGTGTATATGTGTCTGTGTGAGTACATGTGCACTAGTGAGTGCAGCTGCCCATGGAGGCTAGAAGAAGGCATCAGATCTGTGGAGCTGGAGTTTTATAGGCATTTGTAAGCCATCTGATGTGGGTGCTGGGATCCAAACTCCAGTCCTTATGATTGAGCAGCAAGTGCTCTAAACTGGTGAGCCATTTCTCCAGCTTGACAAATGCAAATTAAAAATAAAAAATCTGACCTCCCCGTCTCTTTCCCAAAATTCAACCTCCTAGAGTGCCACTGTCCACACGAGTAACAAGTGCATATTTTTCAGTCTGTCTGTGTGTTTACATATATGTATATAACATACATAAGTATTTTGCATAAAAGGAGAATATATTGAATATATATTTCTATAACTATAGCTATTTCCACTAAATAATGATATGTAAACATTTCATTCTTTTAAATTAGATGCAACACTCCTTAAACTACAGATGCTCACAAGTTCATTTAACTTTCTGCTGAAGGCATTGAAGTAACTTCTGAGTTCTCATTACAAAGAACACATACTTAAGCAGAAGCAGATGACTAGGATAGAAATGTAGACATGAACTCACTGATTTATACTTCAAGGTTCAGTCAGAAAAATAAACTACTGGTTTATGGACCCACCAGTTCATTACCTCCACTTTTGGCAGCAAGTATTTACAGGCCTAGTGTCTATGCTTCCTATGGGTGGGAAGTATTTCACTATTTTGATTTGCCTTCCCCAAACTATTGATGAGGCTGAGGGTCTTTGCATTTGCTGTTCATCTTGTTCAAATTGTCCTGTGACTATTCTCCTTCAGATTAAACTGTCATCTTCTCAGTGACCTACAAGTATATTGTAGAGTATTAATCCATTAACATTATTTTTTTGTGGTTGTTGGTTTTGTGTATGTGGACACGTTTGTATATGTGTGGGTACGTATCTACATGTGTGACCATGTGTGTGGAGACCAGAAGCCAATCTTGGTGTCTTTCTCAACTTGACATATTAAAATTTGTCGTTTCAACTTTCTGGGTTTTGTTCTTACAACATTTCCATTTTTACATTGTTTTATCAATAATTTTCCTTTAGTTCCAGATTTTATGTTATGATAGGTTAGGTTTAATTGCTAACTTGACACAATCTAGAATCACCTCAATAAGGGAGTGTCTAGATCAGGTTGGGCTGTGGGCAGGACTGGGAGGGAATTTTTCTTCATTCAGTTGAGGTGGGAAGACCTACCGTGAGTTCAGGCACCATTTCATGGGCTAGGTAAAAGTGGAGAAAGGCGGCTGAGCAGTAAGCATGCAATCGCTCTGTCTGCTCTTCACTGTGATGTGCCTAGCTGCTTCAAGCTCCTGCCCTGACTCCCCTGCAGTGAGGGACAGCAACCTGGAACAGTGAGCTCAAATCAACCCTTCTCCCCACAGATGCTTTTTGTCAGGATATTTATCACAGCAACAGAAATGCATCCTACTTCTTACATGAGGGACCATAAAAAACAAGGAATCAAAAAGTCCACTCTATTACCTTTATCATTTATATTTAGATAGTTTACATTCAGCCTTACAATATTTTGGTTCAGGGAAAGGGAGGAAGCTGGATTTCTTAGGAATACAAAGTGAAGAGCCCAGCTTCATCCATCTAGTAGTTTACCTTCTCATCTGTAGTCACACCTAGTAGACATACACTGGACTTCAGAACACATCTCTTCAGTTCCTACTGTTTCAGGATTATGCATCCTATCTTTTTAGTTTTTATCCAAATTTCCTGGCTATTCTTACACATTGTCTTTTTCAAAGAGGTTCTAACATTAGCTTATCAAATTAATCTGCCTGTAACTCCAGCTCCAGAGAATCTGATGCCCTCTTCTGGCCTCTGCATGCACCTACACTCACATTCACAAACACATCCACAGTTTTATACACACACACACACACACACACACACACACACACACACAAATTAACATTTTTAAAAATCTAAAACTAGCCCCTAGGAAACCATAAATGCTCTGTACCTTTTCATTGAATTTTTAAATTATTAGGTTTTTCTTTTCTTTTTTTAAGATAAGTCTTACTTTCTTACCCAGGTTGGCCTATAACTCCTTGTCTCAAGAGTTCCTCCAGCCTGGACTCCAGGACAATCAGTGCTGCCAGTTCCTTCAAATAGTAGTGCTTTACTCCAGATAATACTGCTAACTCTATTTAATCAGTTGATTTTCATTATGAAAACTTTTAAATCAGGCCCCTGCATGGAACACTTACAGCTATCATTTAATGCCTTGTTAACCATGGTCAAGGTATTTAAATTCTGGACCACTGAGATGGCTCGGTAGGGGAAGGTACTTTGCTGCTAGGCCTGACAACTCGAGTTCAATCCCAGGACCCACATGGTGGAGGACAGAATTGAGTCCCTCTGATCTCCAAATATGTGCTATAGCAGGTAAGCATGCATGCACACGAAAAGTAAATACATAAAATGCAATAATTTTTAAAAATCAGTTTCAGAGAGATGGCCAGAGGTAGAGAGCACTGATTGCTCTTACAGAGTACCTGGGTTCGATTCCCAGCACCCACATGGTGGCTGTGAACAGTCCTTAACTCCAGTTCCAAGGGAATCCGAAGCCCTCTTCTGACCTCCACGGCACTGCACGACATGGGTGCACACATATAGGCAATACACTCATACACATAAAATAATATTTTAAAAAATCAGTTTCAAATAATCTGTGACATACGCTACATAATCTCAAAATTTTTATGGAAAAGGAACTGAGCATGTCTAGCACAATGCTGGAGAGTCGTTCTCACAAACCACAAATAGTCCCTGGTTCACTCCTGGTGGGGCTACACAAATAGGAAGCTATAAATAACACAAACCAGACTTAACATGGAAATGAAAAATAAGAGGCACCTCTGTGGCACGGTGCCTGTGTAATTTAATCTCTGTGAGCTCCTCTATTATGGCAGTGCGGCGTAATTGGCCTTAACTGCTATTCTCCTTCGTTACCACAGAAAGAGACAATGACTCAACACAGGAAATTAGAATCTTCTAAAAAAAGACTGACTCCAAAACAGTAGTTCAGAGTGAAGAGGACCTCATGCTGCTAACAACGGCAATGCAGGCTTTGCACAGACTTTAAGTGCATACCTTCATATGCACTTGGCCCTTTGTATTTTGAAACCACTGAAGCAAAGTAGAGCATAGGCTGCTGTTTTCATGTTAATGATGTTCAGGAAGCAGGGTGGGCTGGGGATATTGGCATAGTGGAAGTGCCAGTCCAGCATGCACGGGGCCTGGGCTCCATCCTCAGCCCCACATAGGCCAGTTGTCGTGGAATCTGCCTGTCTGTGATTTAGCACTCCTGAGGCTGAGGCAGAGGATTACAAGTTCAAGGTCAGACTCAGCTACATAGTGAGTTCAAGGGCATCCTGAGCTACATTAAGACCCTGTCTCAAACACACACAAACACACACACACACACAAACTAACGCAAACAACAAATGAACCAGAAATGGAATAATTTGTCTAAGATCTCTAGCACAGCACTGGGCCTAGGACAGCGTCAGCCTAGGACAGCATTATGTCCCAGGTAACTTGACTTCTGACTGAAAAATTTTTCTACTAACTTACATCTCCTAGTTCTAACCACTCAAGAGCTCCTACAGGCCTCTCACAAGACTCATTATACAATCTGCAGCCTGGTTTAAATTAGTAATATAGATCTACATACCAGCAGTTTCCAAGACAAAAAGAGCTACTGCAAAGTCACTCTTCAGAGTAGCAGGCATTATTTTATCTCATGTCTGCCACTACACAGCTCAGAGATGTCAAGAAAAGCCAGCTCCCTCTCAATAGGCCTCAGTTTCCTTATGCGTAAAACGAGAGGGAACTAACAGATCTCAGAGAACACGCCTTCTCTCATCCTTGGTTCTTGAGGCCTACAACCAGGTGACAACTCACTAACATAACTGTTAATTTAAAGCCTAAGATTAATGAGCATTACTGCTACTGTGCTTTACATATGACCATCTCATTTTTTAAAATACTTTATTATTTTTATATATATTTTTTATGTGTATGCGTGTATCACCTGCATGTAGGTAAGCATGCCCACCTGAGGAGGACAGAAGAGGCTGTTGGATCCTCTGGGACTGGAGTTATGGACAGCTGTTAGAGTTATGGACAGCTGTTAGCTGCCATGTGGGTGCTGGGATTTGAACCCGGGTCTTCTGCAAGAACATTCAGCGTTCTTAACTGCTGAGCCATCTTTCTAGCCCCGACTATCTCATTTTTTTAAAGTTACACAGGGGCCCAGCAAGCTGACTGGGCAGGTAGGGGTCCTTGTTGCCAACTCATGACCTAGTTCAATCCCTGAGCTCCACGTGGTGGAAAGAGAGAAGCGAATTCCTCAAATTGTTCTCTGTACTTCACACATGTACCATGGAACTTGAGGACCCGTGCTCCCATGCCACAACAAATAAATCAATAACTTTTTAACATTAAAAAAATTTATATAGAATCAATTTATTCTTTTTGTGTGTATGTGTTTATGTTGGGGGGCAGGTGCACATGTGTGTACGGGTTAAAGGTCAAATTTGAGTGTCTTCTTTATTTTTATTTAAAAATTACATTTTACTTCTCTCTCTCTCTCTCTCTCTCTCTCTCTCTCTCTCTCTCTGTGTGTGTAGGACACAGCACAGTATGGGTGTGGAATGACACAGGACAATTTCTGGGAGGGTTTTTGAGAAAGTGTGTCTCACCTTTACCTAGAAGTCACAGATTTAGCAAGGCTGGCCAGTGTGCTCCAGGAGTTCACCTGTCTCGGCCTCTGTAGCAGATCACCCATGGCCTGGCTTTTCACACACGGGGATCCAACCTCCGGCCTCGGACTTGTGCTGCTGGCATTTCACCCACTTTGAAGCACACTGCTGTGCTAATCTTTATTAACTGGATGCCCCCATATATGCTACCTGCTGCTCCTCACACCAATGAGGGCATGGTCCTTTTCTGTCTCGACATAGAGCCTGTAGAGTTTAAATCTTTATTACACTATTATGTATTTTATATGTATGGGAGCACACACACAACCATAGTGCACCTGTGGAGTTCAGGAGTCAATTTTCTCCTTCTCTATGTGGGCTCTGGGGATCAGACTCAGGTCCTCAGCTTGCAAGTGCCCTTATGTGCTGAGCCATCTTGTTGGTCCTGAGTTTAAATAACTTGCCCCTGGTTAACAAAGTATTAAATGATAGAGACAGGATGACACTGGAACAGGGACTCAGAAGCACTCCTTCCAATGTGCCCTCCCTCACTCTGTCATTCCTCCTCATGGACTCTGATATTTTGCCTTGGCAGATGATAAAGTACATACAAATGGCATTAAAAAGTTAAGGTGACCCTTAAAGCAGAGAACTCCTTCTGGGCGATGGCAGTGCTCCTCACAGGGCTGATTGCAACTGCTTTTGCCTGTCATAGTGATACCTCTGAGCACACACCTGAAACCCAGGGCAGAACACCTACCACTCAAGTGTAGGCAGCAAATCTCTGATCACTGCCTCACAACTGAGGCAGACAACTTCTTTGTTGAAATCTAGAGAGGGCATGAAGCAGTCACCAACAGTCCCAGTGGGTCACCTCATAGCCTGACTTGGCTATTCTAGTTGCATTGCTATTGCTGTGATAAAATACCCTGACAAAAAGCAATGTAGGGGAAAAAGGGTTTATTTGGCCATAATTGTAGGTCTGTTACTGTGGGGGAGTCCAGGCAGGAACTCAAGGCAGCTGATCACATCACATCCACAGTTAAGAGCAAGAGGAATGGAAACCTGTATCCTTGCTGTGCTCAGCTCCGTTTCTCTGCTCTAATACAGGGGTGAACCCTTTGCCTACGGAACAGTGATAGCCATAGTACACTGGGTAGTTCCACATCGTTAATCAAGACAACCCCCCCAAGACATGCTCTGATCTAGACAATGTGTCATCGAGACTCTCTTCCCAGGTGATTCTAGGTTGTGTTACATTGATAATAAAAGTTAACCATCACACCAGCTCTAACAGACACTCCTCACTCTACCAGCCCATGAACAAACCTGCTCTCACCTATCAGGGTGCCGCAGGTTTCCACCATCAAGCACCATGGCCTACCCCAGGGGGAAACAACTGTAGCTAACCTTAAAAAAACAACAGCAAACAAAATGAAGGCCCTGGAAACTGAGTGATGGAGATGCTGAGATTGCACGGGGGGTGGGGGGTAGTTCTCATCTGTGCTCATGTTTCCAGGGACAGACCCGCCTTCTTCGTGGCTGTCATCTCCCCATTAGCAGAGCTGGGTTATGGCGTCTACCTTATGCTCAAACGGCATGGGTCCTATCTTGAGGCTCCCCAGGTCTGAACCAAACCATGTAACTAAGTGGGGTGCAGTAGTGTATACCTGTACTCCTAGCACTTGGGAGTACTGTCCTGAGGTCAAGGATGGCTGGGGCTATAGGGTAAGACTTTGTCTCAAAAATAAATGAACAAACAAAAAAATTTTAAAGATTTTCTATTACTTTCTTTCTCAAAAATGGAATAGAGCAAACAAAAAAAATTACAAAATGACACAGACTTTGCTTCTCATTAGTATTTCTTGGTTTTTATCACCACTTGACTTTTTTTTTTTTTCAGTCATCATCACACCAAATATTCTATCTTAAGAGAAATCGGTACAGAATTATTTTCTGAAAACCAATTCTTAGCTCACAAAGCCATACAAGTCCAACAAACTCAACCTACAGTTTCAGAATGCAACTCTGTCATCTACATAAGAAATGCATCTGATATTAAAGTTGGGTGGATTGTTAACTAACACAAGCCCAATTTAAACACTGAAATAAGTATCTTGGCTGGGAAGATGGCTCAATGGGTAAAAGCATTTGGAATGCAAGCATGAAGACCTGAGGTCAAATCCTAGAACTCACAAAAAAACTGATGCATGATATGAGCATTGGTAATCCCAACACCTCTCCAGGGAGATGGGAGCTGGAGATGGGAACCAGCAGAAGATGGAAGAAGAGTGGTGACACCCAGTCTGTCCTTTTCCCTCCATACATGCATTGACACCCACACAACTCATATAGCTATACATCACCTGCACAGACAGAGACACACACACCCCTAACTACATACATAAACATGGCTGAATCCTTACAAGGCTGGGTAGAATATTGACATGATACAACATAATGAAGAAATAAACAAAATGCAAAATGTACTACATGCTACTTCTGGAGGAGGGACCATGCACCAGACGTGGAGGCTTTGATCCCCTCAGCTCAAGTCTGAAGGCTGCAGGGTCCTCCTGCTCTGGCTCAGAGTATCTTGAAAAGGCTCCCCGCTCCTCCCACCCACACACCCCAGAGAAGTGGCTCACTCATACAGACTTCATTGATCAAAACACACCACATATTCTCCCTCACAAGGCTCAAAAGCATCTCTGTCTTTCCAAAGCCACCATGGGGATGGAGGGGCAGTGAGTTTCATTCACGGCCTCCAGTTCATCATCTGTCCTCTGGAGCTTCCGTCACCCCTGCCACTGGCACCACAAAGGCAGGTGCTGCATTCTGATCTTTCTCCCTTAAACCTGGAACTAGGCAAGGCACCACAATGGGTGCCTGTGTGCTGGGGCTGAGCATGTGATATAGGCAGGGTTTCTCAAACACACTCAAGGACGGCTCCTAGATGACCTGTGATTCAAACAAGGACTGTCTGAAGGCTATGCAGTGCTGGGGAAGAGGTACATGGGCAAAGGGACTTACTGATAGGTCAGTAACAGTCTTCACAGCCTTGTCTTTTCTCTTTATGAAGTCGTCATCCTGAAAGACAAACAAAACAGGAGTTCAATCAATTCAACCAATGTGAAACTCAGCTGAACTTAAAATCTGCCTTATCAATGAATGCTCATCACTAGCATGCCTGAAGTCTCAATTTGCTTTTTTATTTTTATTTATTTATTTTTTTGGTCTTTTTGAGATAGGGTCTCCCCATAGCCTCAGCTAGCCTGGAACTCACTCTGTAGACCAGGCTGGCCTCAAATTCACAGAGATCTGCCTGCCTCTGCCTCCTGAGTTCTGGGACTAAAGGTGTGTGCTAGCACGCCTGACTCATTTGCCTTTTTAAAAGCTGTCCAGGCTGCACCCCTACTGAAGAGCTATAATTTTGGGGGAGGGAAAAACAATCACTCTTCTTTGAGAGTGTGGTCCCTGGTAGGTTGCCCATGCACCAGCGGATGGCCCCACACCCATGTGTATATATTGGCACTAACTGGACTTAGTGAGCTATGGAAAAAAAAAAAGAGGTATGAAGTCAGGAGAGGGATGTGCTGAGTGGAATATGGGGGAGATGGAGGGGGGAAATGGGGGGTGGGTGTGATCTCATTTCATTGTATACATGTATGCAATTCTCAGGAATAAAATTTTTTTTTAAAAATTTATGTATTTGTACATGTTTATGTATGTATGGGAGCATGTGGTGAGACACATGTGCTCTCAAATGTATGTGTATATGTATGTGTATGTTCATGAACACAGGTGAAGTTTTTTTTTTCCCGAGACAGGGTCTTCTCACTGACCTGGAACTCCCCAGTTAGGTAGGTTAGGCTGGCTGGCCAGTGAGTCCAGGAATCTGCCCATTTCTGCCTCTCAGTGCTGCGATTATAAGCACACACAGCAATGCCTCACTTAAAAAAAATGTTAATTTGCATATATATATGTATATATATATACACACACACACATATATATGTATGTATGTAAGTGCAAAGCATGCAATCCCCAAGGGGCCAAAAGAGGAGTTATGTGTTAGCCGCCATGTGGGTGCTGGGAATCAAACCTGGGTCCTCTGCAAGAGCAGCCAGTGCTCTTAACCACTGAGCCATCTCTCTAGTCCCCATGTCTTGCTTTTTAAACGTGGACTCCAGGGATCAAACTCAAGACCTCAAGGAAAGTTTTTAACCGAGTGCTCTCTCAAGCTCTCAATTTTCTCACAAATTGGAACATATTCTCCATGGGAAAAGCTACTCTGCAGATGATGCTGTCAGAGCCTACAGTCAGTAAGGGAAAGAGAGGCCACAGAGAGTGGTGGCTAAAACAAACACTCTCATGTCCAATTCGTAAAAACAATGACATTTTGGGTAAGGTTAGCTAACCTCTAAGTCTCAGCTCTTTTATTTGCAAAACCGGGGCATCCACCCCTACCCAAAAGGGCAGTCATTAGGATACAAGACAAAGACAGTGATGTACGAGCCTGGCAGAGTATTTGATAGTGCTTAGTACCACTGTACTTATTATAAACTGTAACTACAATCTTTCGAAAAGCTTTTTACATTTGTGTTAAGGCCTACTGTGTCAAGTTAGTGTCCCCAGATGCTCCTCAGTACAAGTTCATCATCCTCACCCTGCAATAATCAGCTGCCAATACTTCAGCTAAGTTTGGGGTCTGCTGTCCATTTCCCCAGTTCTATGCTGGGTTTTGGTCTGCTCGAGTTTGCATTGATCTTGTACATGCTGACACCATTGCCGTAGGTTTATATGAGCAGGGTCCCAGGAGCTTGTAGGACTCTATTTCCATATGGTCATGCACCTCCTCCTGGCTCTTAAAATCTTTTTGCCCCCTCTTGTGCAATGGTCCCTGAAACCAGGGTGGGTGAAGCTCAATACACAAGTCTTGTCCAAGGACAAGACTCTCTATACTTTGGCCATTTGTGACCTTTTGTGTTCCTGGCCCTCTGTTGCATGAGGGAGATTCATTAATGAGAACTGAGATACTCATTAGTGTTCTCTTTACCCCTTGTTCTATGTTCTGTGAGCCTTAGGTGTAGAAGATGCATTGTAGATGTACCACTTAGGCTTGGGCAATTCACAGACAATGTCTGTGTGTGACCAGTTGTGGTACTCTGTGATAATCTCCATCTAGTGCAAAAGAAGCTTATTTGATGAGTGGTGACTGGGATATTTATCTATAAATATAAGGATAGCCCTTAACACAAATGACAGAATGTATGAATTCCAGTTGGGGATGGGTATGGGAGGGTGCCAGTGGGGAATGGTGTATAAAGATAAATAAGATTGACTGAGATGTTCTGAATGAAATAAACAAAAATTCAATAAAAATAAATAAATAAAAACATTGTGGAAAAAATAAGAGCTTTTTACAGAAATGGGTTCCTGGTCCGGGGAGATGGCTCAGTCAGTAAATCACCCACCCCACAAGCATGAAGACCCAAGTCAGATCCTCCAGAATTCCAGTGTGGCTGGGAAAGCAGAGACAGGAAGCTCTCCAGGGCTTGCTGGCCATCCAGTCTCACTGAATTGGTGAGCTTCAGGTTTAGTGGGAGACTCTGTCTCAAAATTAATAAGGTGGAGAGTGACTGAGGACAATACTTGATGTCAATCTGAGACCTCTACATATACATGTGCATATACACGAACATGTACAAACATAAACACATGTGCGAGCACACACACACAGACACACACACAAATCAGCTCTGGCAATTTAACAGATGTACTGGGTCCATTATTAAACTTCAGGAGAAAACAAAATTGTAGCACTTTACACTCAGTGTGTCACTTAAAGAATAGTTCTGAAGCAGCACAGGCCCATTTCAGAGATGCCAAGTGCAGGTGGGGTGTAGAGGAGCCTGCACTCATCCTGGGGACTCTCACTGCACACTAAGGCTGTTGGTAGGCAAGAAAGGAAGTTTGCACTCAACCTAGGCCAGAGGAGATTATTGTTACAATGGGCAGTAGTCAGTGCAGACTCCTGACTAGACAAAGTGCTGAGAGAAAGTGACTCACAAGTGCTTAGCCCTAAATAGGACTATGTCAATTCCCAGCAAGGCTCAGGGGATATCTTAGAAGACTGGATGGGAAGAATATAAGAGCAGAGGATGGGGAGGAAGCTGTGAGATGTCATCTTCTGGGCATGACATGGCCAGTACACTCATGAACTCGCTGCAGCTCTGGTCACCTGCATAAGATCAAGGCAACAAACGCAGCCAATAACCTAGCAGAAGTACTAGGTGGACTCAGTGGGCTAAAATAAAAGAAAAAAGAGCCAGGTGTGGTGGTGAACTCCTTTAATCCTAGCAGCTAGAGGCAGAAGCAGGTGGATCTCTATGAGTTTGAGGCCAGTCTGGTCTACAGAGAATTCCAGGTCAGCCTGGGCTACACAGTGGGACCCTGTCTCAAAAAACAAACAAATCTAAAAATATAAAAGAAGACATTAAGGTGGGGAGATGTTAGGGTGTTCAGGGGAGCTGGGGTAGAAATAACTGAGATATACTGAATATGTGTATGAAATTTAAGAATTTTTTTTTAAAGAGGAGGCTGGAAAGGTGGCTCAACAGTTGACTGCATACTGCTCTTCCAGAGGACCCAAGCTTGTCTCCCAGCCTGGGAGGCTCATAATCATCTGTAACTCCAGCTCCAGGGACATCTGATGCCTCCTTTCTCTGACATCCTCGGACTGCACTCACCCCCCCCCACACACACACACAAATACAAGGAAAAAAAAAAAAAGAAGTATACCATACCACCTTATCTTGACTGAAAAATAAATAAAAGAAGTATAGACTGACCTCCGGAAGGCTGTAGGTTTTCTGGAACTGGGATATGGAATAGGAGCGGATATAGTCACCCATCTCTTCTTTTGTTTCTATAGCTCTTTTCACCAGCCACTGGGGAAGAAAGGGAGGAAATGTGAAGCGACTGGAATGAAATCCCACTGTAGTGAAGGCCTGCTGGGAAATAGCACATCTTGTGAACTCAAATCACATGGTTGAACTGATCAGGTGGCAAGAAACCAAGAGCACACACTGTCCTGTGGGAACAGCCATCAGTTGGGTATCCAAGATGCTGAAACCCAGTGACCCAGTGTGACGAGCAGTATGTAAATGTGTAGGCATTTGAAAGCCACAGCCCCGTCAGCAGGCCTGTCTGCCTCTCTATATGAAGGGAAGGGCAGTTCTTGGATATTCTTTTTTTTGAAACAGGGTCTCATGTAGCCCAGGCTGACCTCTAACTCACTATATATCTAAGGATGACACAGTACCAGGATGACAGGCATGAGATAACATGCCTGGCTTATGCAGTGCTGGGGACAGAACACAGGGCTCAAACACTCTACAAACTAAGCTATGATGTCCCTGGCTCTCAATTCCCTGACATTCTTGATAGGAAAGAGCTAGTACAGAAACAAACTGCCTCATACTAGAGTGCTTTGCAAACAGGCACACAGGCAAACTGCACAACCCCTCATCTGACAGATGAAAAAAAAACCCCACAGCACACTCAGACTGTACAGGACTGTGCACTGAGGACAGGCGCTGAGGCACGGGCTAACCTGACAGTATACTCTTTGTGATCCTCGTGACATATACAGTAGATGGTACTGAGTTTTACAGAAACTCACAGAGACAATACAGTCATTTCCTCAAGGATCTGTAGACACAAAGATATACAGCTGGGAGGTTCCTCCACACCAGACAGTGAAGAGAGGGGCTTTAATTCGTCCCCCAGTTCCATAGGGCTAATATCTGGAAACAGGTCACTCTTCCTTTTTTCCAACTTAACAACTCCATGTAATTAAAACATTGAGTGCACACACACACACATGTGGACGCAAGCACTGAGCCTTTGCCTCCCCTTCCTGCTCTTCATTTATTCCATCACTGACAGGCATAAGGCAAGAGGGAACTACTTGTCAGAACTGCCAGTCTGTTCTCAGAGAAACCCCTACAACCTCAAAGCAAATTGGGGACAGCAGTGTTTACTAAACGTTTTTATCAAAGTGTTTACCAAAGCACATTTGGTCAGGTACAGCTGCCTCAGCACATAGACACATGGCCTACAGTAGGTACTCCTGCAGGAATGGGAAAACTTGCTTGCTTACTTATTTTTTAAATTATTATTTGTGTGTGTATGTATGATGGGGGAGGGAGGCAGTGCATGTAGGCCATGGCTCACATGTGGAGGTCAGAGGACAACTCTGTGGAGTCAGTTCTCTCCTACCTCTATGTAGTTTCGAGGTGCAAACTCAGGTCATCAGGTTTGCACAAGTGCTGAGTTATCTCACTGACCCAAAATTTGCTTGTTTAGAAGACAGGCAGTTCAAGTAAAAGACATGTTTAGGAAGTAGTACCAAAATGGGTTGGCTGCAAATAACTACTGCACCATACACAGTATACACCATGGAGTGCAGGCCTTTGTGTGTACATTCAAGTTAGCATATTCCTTTGTCATTAGTGTTTTCCATTTCTTTCCACTGTTCCATCAACTCTACCTCTCAACAGTGACCTCAGTCATTGACTGACATTGCAAGCCAAGGCAGAAGATAAGATAGCCCTGAGCTCTACTGTAGCCCCCTCTACTCCCACCAAGCATGGCCCAGAACCACTTGGTGCTTATCCTGGTTTCATTTCCTGTTGCTGTGACAAAATACTCTGACAAAAGCAACTGAAGGGAGAAAAGGTCTACTTTAGGTCACAATTTCATGTTACAACCCATCAATGAAGGGAAGTCCAGGCAGGAACTTTACAGCTAGTCACACCACAGTGAGGAGCACAGAGAACAATGCATGCATGCCTGGTACGCAGCTGGCTTTCTCTACCCCTGCATAGTCCAGGACCCAATTCCAGGGACTAGTACTGCCCAGAGTGGACTGGGTCTTCCCATTAAGGAAAGACGATAACCTACAGCCATGCCCACAGGCCAACCTGATCTAGACATCCCTCATCCAGACTCTTTTCCCTGGTGATTCTTGGACATGTCAAATTGACAGTTTGAACTAACCACCATGGTCCAGCTCTGCTTCCTGGTGGACTGCAGGACCCTGATTCTGACCTTTCATGTCTGTTTCCTCTTCATTTCCCAGTTACTCCAGACTGGATCATGGAGAGTGTGATGGGGTATGGCAGGGCACGGAAAGCCTGCTGCATTCAAAATCCTCTCAGACAACCACTGGTTCTGTTCTGGAGTTCCCAATGCCAAAGATGATAGAGGGAAACTTCCAGCTGGTCATACCCTACCATGACTTTGTAGCACAGAAAAAAGTTCAGGTCTAGTATGGGAGAAAAAGATGTGCCCTAGCCAGCCAGCCTAGCCTACTTGGTGAGCAAGGAACATCTCCTGAGGTTGTCCTCCGCTTTCATGTGCATACATATATGAGCACTCACACACATGCACCCACATACATACATACACAAGAAAAAGCCACTGATGGGAACATTCAAGGATCACAGCAGGTACCAGTGTGAAACTGGGGCATATGGAGTACCAGAAGTCTTGAGAGCGACAACAAGAATCCCCAAGCTCTGCTGTACCAAATGCATCCCATGCCTACTAGATCCAGGATCCAGCCAGGCTGCTGAGAGCCAGATGTGTTCTAGGAATTCTCAGCTCAGAGGCAAAAAGCCACCCAGAAGACCTCACCTGCACAACAGGGAATATGTGAATAAAATCCATCCCCTGGATCTGGTGGGGTTCCAGCTGGTGTGGGCATTTCATCCTCGGGAGGACCGACACAATCTTTTCTGATAGAGCTCTGTCCAGAAAAAAGAACAAGCACAGAAAAGAACGCACTGAGTGGCCCGAAGGGCATTTCTGAAGTTTAGGTGGCATCTAGAGGAATCCAGGCCTGCTCAGAATCATACCAGTGACAAACCCCAACAGACTGATGTGGGAGGAAGCACCATTTAGCTACATGCATGTAAGGTGACAAAATCATTTCCTTCATCATTTATTCCCCTTACATTTTTTAAAAAGACAAGGTCTCGGGCTGGAGAGATGGCTCAGTGGTTAAGAGCACTGGCTGTTCTTGCAGAGGACCAGGTTTGGTTCCCAGCACCCACATGGCTGCTATTAATTGTCTATAACTCCAGTTCCAGGGTATCTGATGTTCTCGTCTGCCCTCTGTGGGCACTGCATGACATGGGTGCACTTACATACATGCAGGCAAAATGCTCATACACATAAAACAAAAATAATATTCTCCAGCTTCCACCTCTCAAGTGCTAAGCTAATAGGCATGTGTCACCACACCTTGTTTTTTGCTATTCTTTTTTTTTTTTATTTAATAACCCATCAACTCCAATTTGTGCTGTCCATATACTTTTGGGTATGGGGCCATCTACAAGACTGTGGTCAATCTACCAGGAGTCAGACTCTTAATGAAAACTACTATACCACGTTTTATGCAGTGCTGGGGATAGAACCTAGGGCTTCACATATGCTGGACAAGCACTCTACCAACTTAGTCATGTCCCCAGCTCCGCTTCCTCTTTTTGATATTAAAATTGCTTTGTTTCTTTTGACATGATGGCAGCTTGGAATCAAGGGCCCAGGCTCTTCATACTTCACCTTACTGACCCACTTCTTCCAGAAGCCCAGAAGCCACTAGTTACACCTTAAGAATTCATCCTTAATATGATGCAGGCAATGAAACACCAGCCAGTATGCCAGATACTTAGAATATTAGGACAAAATAGGGTCTCATGCCCCAAAGAAATGGTAGAGGTCTCTACTTCAGTTCAAGATACTTTTTAAAGGGCTGAAGAGATGGCTCAGTCAGTAAAATGCTTGCCAAACAAGCATGAGGACTTCATTTCAGATCCCCAGAACCCTTATAAAAATCCAGGCATGGTGGCACATGCTCGTAAATCCCAGCAGGGGGTAGGTGTAGACAAGCAGATCCCTAAGGCTCACTGGCTAGCCAACCTAGTCTACATGATGAGTTTCAGGTCAGTGACAAACCCTGCCTCAGCAACAACTAAGGTAGAGGGCTGGAGAGATGACTCTGCGGTTAAGAGTACTCGCTGCTCTCACAGAGGACCTGAGTTTGGTTTCTAGCACCCATGTCAGGCAGCTTACAACCACTGTAACTCCAGCTCCAGGGATCTGTTGCCTCTGGTCTCCATGTACGCTGTACCTGGTGTGTACATATCCCCTCAACACATGCAACATAAATTAAAAAAAAAAAAATTTAAAATTAAAAAAAAAACTAAGGCAGAGAAGTGATGAAGACACCTAACATTGACCTCTGGCCTCCACACACACACACACACACACACACACACACACATACACACACACAAAGAGAAATATACCTTAAAAATCAGTATTGGCTTTTTCTTGTTTTATATTTTAAAATCTGTCTTTGTTTCTCCATTGCTGTGGCAAAATACTCTGACCAGTACCAACTTGGGGAGGAAAGGGTTTGTTCAGCTTCCTCTCCCAGGTCACAGTTCATCCAGGAGCCCAAGGTAGGAGCTCAGGGCAGGAACCTGGAGACAGGAGCTGGAGCACAGGCCATGGAGGAACGCTGCTTACTGGCTTGCTCCCCTGGCCCCTGCTCAACCTGCTTTCTTATTCAACACAGGCCCACCTGCCCAGGGATGGCACCAGCCACAATGCGCTGGGCCCTCCCACATCACTCATCAAGAAGATGCCTCACAGACATGGCCACAGGTCAGTCCAAAGAAGACAATTCCCCAACTGAGGCTCCCTCAACCCAGGTGTATCAAGTTGACACTACAGCCCCAGCTGACCAGAACCCACAGATTCTCAATCCAAAATCTCACATGAACAGCCCTGAGATTCTCTGCTTCCCTTTGAAGCTTCACAAGCCAGGTTCATCATCTGCAACTCTTCCAAGCTCCACAGCAACAAACTCTGAGCACGCAATGGCTTTTCTGGCCCAAAGTTCCAAACACTTCCACAGTCCTCCCCAAAACACCAAGGTCAGGTCTGTCATAGCAATATCCCACTCTGGTACCAATTACTGTCTTAGTTTGTTTCTCCATTGCTGTGACAAAACACTCTGACCACTACCAACTTGGGGAGGAAAGGGTTTATTCAGCTTACATCTCCCAGGTCACAGTTCATCAGGGAGCCCAAGGTAGGAGCTCAGGGCAGGAACCTGGAGACAGGAGCTGGAGCACAGGCCATGGAGGAACGCTGCTTACTGACTTGCTCCCCTGGCCCCTGCTCAACCTGCTTTCTTATTCAGCACAGGCCCATCGGCCCAGGGGTGGCACCACCCACAATGCGCTGGGCCCTCCCACATCACACAACAATCAAGAAGATGCCTCACAGACATGGCCACAGGCCAGTCCAATGAAGGCAATTCCCCAACTGAGACTCCCTCAACCCAGGTGTGTCAAGTTGACACTACAGCTATCCAGCACAAAATCCATCCTAGATTTGGAAGACCTCTTAGCAAGGGGAGAGTCTCTGCTTTCTGTGAGCACTTGCTGAGCACTGCCTCCCCACCCCCCAATCTCCCTGGCTTCAGTCTTCTGTGAAATGGCTAGGAGGAGAGGGGAGAGGGCACTCAGCTCCCTGAGGTCCTACAGTCATTCTTCCCTCTAGGCCAGAAGCAGGGCTGGTTCCCCAGCCCAGCAGGGTGGGAGCAATGCGGGGTCTTGAGCACCCAGCACACCATCAGCACAGCCTTTCTTTAACCCCACCTTGTTCAGCAGGAGGAGCGCTCCCTCTAGTGGCTACAGAACTATCAATTTGCACAGGTTGCAAATAGGAACATTCATGGCTCAAATGCAGAGGCTGAGCCTCTAACAGCCAGTCCAACTGCCTTCTCACAGGGTTCTCCCTGGCCACTCCTCCAAGTCAGCTTACTCAGGCAATTCATAAAGGCTGGGAGGAAAGGACATAGCAGGTCATTTCGGGTTTACAAGCCTCTTAAAACTGCCTCCCAGAAACCAGTGTCAAGTCCAGACAGTCCCAGCAACACCTGGGAGCAGCTGAAGGCGCTAACCCTGATGGGAGGGGGAATGGAGAAGGAAGCACAGGGAGGCCAGGCAGGAGAAGGAAGTCAGGAAGACTTCCTACAGAAGCTTGCCAGCCCCATCTGCTTTGCCCTGGATCTTCTGATCTGTAAAAAATCAGGGAAAGGGAAGTCCTAGTTAGCTTGGTTGTCTATTTGACACAGCCTAGAGTCATGACAGAGAAGCTCACTTGAGGAACAAGCTAGATCAGACTGGCCTGTGGGTATGTCTCTGGGGGAATGTCTTGATTGTTTATTGATACAGGAGGGAATAGCCCAAGGTGGGCAGGGCCATCCCTAGGCAGGTGGTCCTGGCTGTATAAGAAAGCTAGCGAAGCATGAGCCTGAGAGTGAGTCAGCAAGTAGCATCCTCCATGGTCTCCATTTCAGTTCCTGCCCTGAGTTCTCTCAATGATGGACTGTGACCTGGAAGTGTAAGGCAAAAGAATCCCTTCCCCTAAGTTGCTTTTGGTCACAGTATTTGTCACAGCAATAGATCGAAATCAAATTAGAACAAGGGACAAAAGCTTCCTAGTCTACGATTTTAGCAAGCTCACTGTCATTATGAATGATTAGTTTGCCACTTAAATTTTTTTTTTGAGACAGGATCTTGACACAGCTCAGGATGTTCTTAAACTGTAACCTTCCTGTGTCAGCTTCCCAAGTACTGGGATTACAGGTGTGTACCACCAAGTCCAGCCAACTCTACTTTTTTAAGGGTTCAATGCAGTTTCCTCCTTCACTGCAGTTTGAAAGAGTAGGTTTGTCCTGGATCTAAATCCCAGCTCCATCACCTTCCCTCTGGGACTTCTGGCAAATGACCAGCTCCTTGCTCTGATAGTCCCATCATAAAATGAAGAACAGCTGGGTCAAAAAGATGGCTCACCGGGTAAAGGGAGTTGCCGCCACGTCTGATGACTTAAGTTTAGTCACTACTTGGGGCCCACATGGCAGAAGGAGAGACCAACTTTCACAAGTTGTCCTCTGACTGCCATACACACACTGTGGCACTTGAACACACACTAAATAAATAAATAAATAAATAAATAAATAAATACACACAGGGTAGGAAGAGAGAACCAAGTCCTGCAAGTTGTCCTTTGATCTCCACAAATGTGCCATGGCATGCCTGTGCCTGCCCAAGCCAAATAATAAATAAATAAATAAATAAATAGTAAACTATCTGTTCAAAGGTTGCTGTGCAGGTTAAGTACTAAAATGCATGCATGCTCACACACATATCTGTCTGCACACACACAAACATGCTCCCAACACACATAAAAAAAGAATACAGTGCTGGGCGTGGTGGCACACGCCTTTAATCCCAGTACTTGGGAGGCAGAGGCAGGTAGATCTCTGTGAGTTCAAAGCCAGCCTGGTCTACATAGTGAGTTCCAGGACAGCTGAGGCTACAGAGAGACCCCGTCTCAAAAAGACCAAAAAAAAAACAAAAAACAAAAAAAAAACAGTACGATACCATGAGAAAAGGAAAAGGATATGAATATAACACCCAAGAACCATCCTCATCGAAGAGTCCCTCCTCCCCCTTGTTAGGTCTTCCAGAGCAGACCCTAGGAACTTACATTTTTTGACCTATTGTAGAGTTTTCCTGGAAGAGCAAATCAACATCTACATCAAAATTGCAGGTAGTGATGCACCAAGTCATCCCTCCTACCACCTGTAAGGGACAGAGAATACGGACTGTCTCTTTCAAGTTCAGGAAAAGGAGAGGCAGCAGAAGGTAAATTAAATTATAAACAGTACTTACAGACTCAGTAAGGATTCAAAATTGTAACTCTTTTATAAATCTCATACCTATGTGGATGAGAGCATATAGGCTTGGCAGTCAGAGGTCACACTCCTGTACCATTCCTCAGGCACAGTCCACTTTGTTTTTTGAAGAGAATTTCTCACTATCCTGGAACTTGCTGATGGAGCTAGGGTGGCTGGCCAGCAAGCCTCAGCAATCCTCCTGTCTCCACCTCCTCAGCGTTAGGTTTACAAGTACCCACCACATCCAGCTTTATAAATGGACTCTGGGGATTCCTTCCTTCCTGTTTTTTTTCCTCCCTTCCTCCCTTCCTCCCTTCCTCCCTTCCTCCCTCCCTATCAAGGGGCAACTTCCTTCCTTTCCTTCTTCCTTCCTTCCTTCCTTCCTTCCTTCCTTCCTTCCTTCCTTCCTTCCTTCCTTCCTTCCTTCTGTCTTCTTTCTTCCCCCGCCCCCCAAATGTTTCTTTTTCTGTTTTTCTTTTGTTTTATTGCTTTAAAACAGGGTTTCACTGTAGCCCCAGCTGGCCTGGAATTTACTATGTAGACCAGGCTGGACTTGATCTCAGAGATCTGCCTGCCTCTGTCTCCTGAGTTCTGGGATTAAAGGCACGGGCCACCTTGTCCAGCTGGGTTCTGCAGATTTGAACTCAAGTCTTCATGCTTGTACAGCAAGTATCTTACCAACTGAGCTGTTTCTGCAGCCCTCTGAAATGATGTCTTGGGCGGGGGGAGAATGTGTCTTCCTTACCTATAATTCATTAACTAGCACTGTTAAATAGAGCTTTCTGCAGTGATAGTAATGTTCTGTGCCCGTACTATCTGTTATAGAAGCTCCTGAGCCTGTGTGGTGGCTGAGCACTTGAAATGCTGCCAGTGTGACCAAAAAGCTGCTATTAAACAGTCCTAACACACCTTCTTCTTCTTAGGGAAGGGTAATGCATTCATTATCAGTTGAGAGACTTCTTTCTTTTGTTCATGTATGTATGTGTTTGCGTCTGTGGTATATATGTATAGGTATATGTACAGGTAAATGTGCTTACCTGTGCATGTGCATATGGCTGCCAGGGGAAGATGTCGGGTATCTTCCTCTATCATTATAGTTCTCCATCTTGTTCTTTGAGACAGTGTCTCTCACTGAACCCGGAGCATGCCATTTCATCTAGGCTGGCTGGCCAGCAAGCGATGGAGACCCACACATCTCCCACTGAGTACTGGGGTCACTGGCACACCATCGGCCAGCTTCTTACACGGGTCCTGGGGATTGAACTCAGGTCCTCATACTTACATGCCAGGTACTTTCCCCACTCAACCATCCCTTCACTCCATTAGCTGAAATTTCTTAATGACAAGTGCCAGGCCCAGAGAAATTATGCATTTTATAGACAAGACATGTAGACAGCAAGGCTGAAATTTTCTGACTCATTACCATAATATCTGAGATGTCTAAGAAAATACAAATTCCAAGGCTCTAGGCCAGACCTACCTAAGTAGAAGCTCAATGGTGGAGGCCTGAATATGCTTATTATTAAACAACCCCAGCTGATTCTGTTATACACAGTCAGGTGGTGACATCCTGGAGAAAGCAGCACTGGTTTCCAGAAGATTTGCTCACATAGTTTGTGGTTGGTTCTCAAAGGCTTACTGAGCACAGTCTACTGCATCATGCAATTTATTCCATGCACGTGGTTCACTGACTTATTATTACGGTGCTCTTTGAGTGCAGGGCTATTGTTTTCTCTGTGCCCTCAGCACCTAATGCTATGTCTCATTCATAAACTAGTAAATTCTGCTAAATTAAAAGGTTTCATGGCAGGACTGGAGTGATGATGCTTCAGCAGTGAAGAAGAAAGAACACATTTTCCTTTTGCAGAGGACCTGAGTTCAGTTCCCAGCACTCAAGTCTGATGGCTTACAACTGCCTATAACTCCAGCTCCAGGGGATGTGATGCCCTCTTCTGGCCTCTGAGGACATCTACACTCAACATGCACATATTTACACATAAATATCCATAACATACATAATTAAAAATAAATCTTATACCAGAACAATGATAAAGATGAATCACCATGACACCTTGGGTGTTGTTCCTCAGGAACTATCCACCTAGTTTTTTGAGACAGGGTCTCTCACTGGCCTGGAACTCACCAATCTGGCTAGGCTGGTTGGCCAGCAGGTCCTAAGGATCCTATTTTCTCCACCTCTCCAGTGCTGGGATTGCAAGCACACCACCATCCCAGGCTTTTTCACATGGGTTCTGGGGTTCCAACTCGGGTCCTCATGATGGTGCAGCACATACTTTACTGACTAAGCTATCTCCCAGCCTGAGAAACTGTTTCTTTTGCTTATTTACATCTCCTAACTCTTCATGCACATGAAATAAATTGAATTGCATCTATTGACTTCTAATTGTCTTTGGATAGGAAATCTGAATACACCCGTGAAGAATACAGATTGGAGATGGGAAGCATGAGCAAGAAGGAAGTGCAAGCCTCTTCCTTTCCCTACTGAGGTTAACCATGACATTCCAAGAAGAAATAGTGCAGGGGTGACGCTTCCTCCTACCTTGTCAAAAGGAGATAAACCTTTAATTCTTGCTCTGAAATACCCAGCTGCAACCAAGAGCTCCAAAATTTCAGTCAACTTAACATTTTGTTCTTCATCTTCTCTTGTTTCCACCTAGAACAAAAGATATAGGTGTAACTGGTAAAAGTTTTCTGCAGTTAAGAGCACTGGTTGCTCTTGCAGAGGACCCAGGTTTGGTACCTGGCACCCACAGGGCAGCTAACAACTCCAGTTCCAGGGGATCCAACGCCCTCTTCTGGCTCTGCAGACATTCCACACATGTGATGCACTTACATACATGCAGGCAAAACACTCATACACATAAAATAAACAAATTAATAAACTTAAAAAACATTACAAAAATTTGTCTTGATTAAACTTAAAAAAAAAATCTGTCGGCTAAATGGACATAATATATAAATATAGATTTCTGGTACCAGAGTTGCACTGCTGAGGGGCAGGTGACTTTGACTGAATTGCTGTGCTATTTTCTTAAAACTCCTGATATATAAAATGGGAACTTAGGCTGGAGAGATGACTCCGTGGATACAGTGCTTGCCACACTAGTATGAGGACCAGAGTTTAGATCCCAGAACACATATAAATGCCAGGCAGGCATGGTGGCCCACTTGCAATTCCAGCACTTGGAAGGCAGACAGGGGCTCTCCAAAGCAAGCTAGCTTCTGATAGCTAGACTAGCCTAATCAGTGAACTCTGGATTCAATTGAGAGACCCTACCTCAATGAATAAGGCAGCAAGTGACTGAAGAAAATACCAGATGTCAACCTCTAGCCTCCACATGCACATGTACACACATCTGCACATACAGCTATACCTACACACATGTGAACACACATACACACAGATATACATACCAGACATGCACATATACACAACATAAATGAGTAATAAAATAGGAATCCTTCACATGTTCAGCCATCATGTGTCATAAATATACTTCCAAGAATAGGGCAACACATTCCAGGAGGATCATCTCCCACCTCAACTCATCTTTAAAGAAAGCTGCAGGCCACCTTTGAAGGTGTATGACGTGGGTTTCTTGTCCACCCACCCCAGAAAGTAGAACTTTACTTTTGCAATAACCGGTGCAATAACTTTTTGCCACAAGACACTGAGTAATGATATTTGATTCCAAATTCACTTTACATATTAGCACTGGAACAAAATGGAAAAAGACTATAGGCTGATACATAGGAAACAAAAGGCTATCCTTTCTTGAAGCCATAAAAGGCCATTACACTTATTAATACATCCAGTTACTAAACCCTTAACACTAGAGACTAGAGAGATGGCTCAGCAGTTAACACATATTGCTCTTGTAGAGGACCCAAGTTCAGTTCCCAGCGCCCACACTGGGCAGCACACAACTGTCTGTAACTAGCTCCAGGGGATCCCACACCCTCTTCTGACCTCCATGGACACCTGCATACATGGTCTCATACATACACACATACACATAAATAAAAATAAAATACATCTAAAGCCAGAACAATGACAAAGATGAATCACTGTGAACTCGTTAACAAGGTCCAATACATTCTTAATTGTCTTGAATTATAGTTCATGTAAACTAGAAGGAATGCTCAAGTTTAGCAATCTTTCTTTTCCTCACACATAGAGAGGGGCTTAAAATTTTATTGTCATGCTGGGCCTGGTAGCATACACCTTTAATCCCAGCACTCAGAAGGCAGAGGTAGGTGGATCTCTGTGAGTGCAAGGCCAGCCTAGTCTATATAGTGAGTTCCACACCAGCTGAGGCTACAGGGAGATCCTGTCTCAAAAAGATCAACAACAACAACAACAACAAATTATTGTCATGAATTAACTGGATTACTGAGGGCCACCTGAAATGGATTTTTTTTTTGCTTTGTCTTTTGAGATAGGGTCTCATGTAGCCCACATAGGCCTAGAACTTCCGATCTAGGCAAGGATGACCTTGAACTTCTGATCCTCCTGCTTCCACCTACCAAGTACTGGGATTACAGGCATGTACCACCACACCTGGTTTATCAGTATGAGGGATAGAAAGCAGGGCTCATGGCTAAGTAAGCCATGGCTCAGGGCTAGATAAGTACTGAACCAACTGGGCTACACCCCACCTGCTAATCTTTAGATTTAGATTAAAAAAAAAAAAAAATCTCTGAGCTACAATTTTAAAAGATATAAGGCCTTTACAGCTTTTGCTATATTTATACCTAAATATAAGTATTGTTTTGGATTTTGTTTGCTGAGAGAGTTTTATGTATTCCAGGCTGGCTTTGATCTTGAATTCCTCACACATCCCCAGGCCCTTGATAGTAATTTGACTGTATCCACCTTGACTTCCTAATTGCCAATTTAGTAATTTAGTAAATTAGTAATTTAGTAAACAAAAACAAATCAGATTCAGCTTTCTGGCAGTCCATGAAGGGTCAAATAGTTTATATATTATTTTTAAAAAGACACCCATTGAGGGCCATGGATCGGAGTTCAGTGCCCAGCACCCATGTGATGTAGCTCAAAACCTGTAACTCCACCTCAAAGGAATTCCACACCTCTGTCCTCTGGGGGTACCTGCACTCACGTGCACATACACATAATTTAAAAAAAGAAATAAAGACACCCATTGAGTTGAGGATTTAAGATAAGATACAGGAGTCTATAGCAAAAGGCCAAGAAAATCTTAAGGACTAGGGAGATGGCTCAGTCAGTAAAATGCTTGCCTCACAAACATGAGGACCCAATTTCAATCCCCAGAACTCACATAAAAATGCCAGGCATGCTGGCCCACACTTATAATTCCAGGGCTGGGGAGGTGGAGACAGGAGGACCAGTCTAGTCCAACTGGTGAGCTCCAGGCCAATGAGACCCTGTCTCAGGGGAAGTGGTCAGTGTTCTGAGGATGACACTGGAGGATGTCCTCTGGCCTCCACACATATATATATATACATACACCCCCCCACACACACACACATAAAACCCCTAAAGAGACTAGGATGAAAAAGTAGCAAGAATGGGCAGAGGGGACAGGTCAGGGGGGAAAGCACTTGCAGTGAAAGTAGGAGGACCTGAATTCAGATCCCAGAACCGAAGTAAAGCTGCATACTGTACTGCATGCGCCTGTAATCCTAAAGTTCCTACATCAATGTAAGGTGGAGTTTTGCCAGTGACTCCAGGGGGCTAGCCTGACTTGCAGAGCAGCAAAACAAGACACTGCCTCAAAAAGGTGGACGGTAAGGGATGATACCTGAGGTCATCCTCTGACCTCCACAAATGCTCTGTGCACCTGCATAAACCACACACACACACACACACACACACACACACACACACACACACAATTTTTCAGTGGCAAAGAAAACTTTCACAATCCCAGATAAAATCATAACCGAACCACAAGCATATGAACTTCCACCTAATGCAGAGGTTCTGACAGCTCTACAGCTATTAAGTATTCTCAAAGCAACACCCAAATGGACTGGCCTTCTGGAAGCATCCACAGATGACCACGTCAGCCCTTCCACTACTGTATCCCCATCTGGGCACAGAACACACGGATTCTGCAACAATAGGATGAAGAGTGAGGGGGTAACCTTAGAAGGATTTGTGAGCACAGAGATGATGCCTGTGGGCGTGGAAAGGGGTACAGGTGAGGGTGGGTGTTTCCTATTCCTCTCTGGAATCTCCTACACTACATTTTTTGTGTAAAGCAACCAGAAGGAAAGAGATGGAAATTCGGCTAAATGCTATAGCCGCCCCAAGGAAAATGAATTCACTTTGCTGCTATTCCCAGCGAACGTGGAGAACTAGACACAATAATGCCCAGTAAGACCTCTTTATCTTTTGTAGAAGCAGCAATGCCTGGCCACACAGCACCCAGGAGAGCGAATACACAACTCACTCTGCCACGATGTGTGCACGGTTCCCCAAACTTCCTCCCTCTGGCCGGGCAAGGGTGAGCTGCACGCAGGGTAGTGTGGCATTTCTTCTTGAAAACAGGGAGTGTGGGGCTGGCCACCAGGACTCCCGCGAGCTCAGAGGGAGGCACAGGCGTCCCAAGGTCACTGCCCTTTGCACACCCAGTCTGGACAGTCCCGCGGAGTGTCTCGTGACTCCTGAGCGCTGCAGCCTTGACACCGATTAGCTAGTCTTGCAACGCTGGGGACACCCAGACTGGAGAGACTGGGATCCCTGGGGACCCCACGTTTCATGAGGTTGCCTTTGGACAGAGGGCCAGGCTGGGATGTCCCCTCTTGTCTCCAGGGAACCCAGGAACCCTGAAGTTTACACGTATCAACACGCTGCACCCTGGCCACGCAGGGAGACCAGTCAGCTGTTTCTCCGGGGTTCTAAGGGCCAGCCTCGGGGAGGACACGCCGGAACACAGGCACCGGGCGCCTCCGACGCCCCCAGGCCCGTCCCCTCCCGCCGTGCGGCTCGGCCCAACCTCCTCAGCAACCTCAGGGTGTCAGGAACAGAGGTCCTCACCTCTGGGAGCCCCTGGCCCTCTGGCCCCTTGGGTAGCCCCATGGTCTGGATGCGCTGATGTGGACCGGAGGGAGCCGGCTCAGCAGAGGAGCTGCGATCCTGGTGGGGTACAAGGCGGAAACTTCCTCCCCGGAACGCCGACACAGCTACAGCGCTCCGGGAACCCTGGCCCCGCAGAGCATGCGCACTAGGGCGGAAGCGCGGCACCACTACGCCTGCGCAAGGGCAGGAGGAGCGCCTGGGCGGAGCTGGACCCAGAGTTCCTGGGGAGGGGCAGAGCTGAAGTTTCCTTTCAAGCCATTTTTTTCCCTTTTCTTTCTTTTTCTCTTTCAGTATCATTTCTGTTTTAAAATACCTTTTATTATTTTTTTTCTAAAATTTTTTCTTTCCTTTTTTTCTTCAGACAGGGTTCTTAGATTGTTCACACTGGCCTTGAACTCCAGATGTAGCAGAAGATAATCTTGAACTGATTCTCCTGCCTCCACCTTCCAACTGTTGAGATTATAGGTCTATGTGCCACCATGCCGAACTCTAATTTTTTAATTTAAAATTTTTTATTACTTTACAACGTAGCAGTTTCCATATGGTATTTTCATACGTGCTTAGTTTTGGATGAGACTCCCCTATCCCACTTCCTCCACTCTCCCATCTCCCTTCCCCTATCCCTTATATCCTTCAACCCAGAATACCTCGTCCATTTCCATATCACCTGTGTTCCTTCCCTTTCCTGTCCCTCTCCCTTAGGGCCTCTTTTCCCGCCTCTATAGACACTTTTCTGGTTTGCTAGGCCCTGAGGCACCTCTTGAAATGTACTTTCCTGCATCCTGGGGATTTTTTGCATTCTGACTCCTTTCCTTCCCTCTTCCGGGCATTCCAGTGAGTCCCTGTCTCTTCACAAGCCTTCTTGGAAACTCTCTGGAGTCAGCCACAGGGCTGGTGCACTTTGGGATTCTAGAGCTCCTCCAGTTCAGCAATGTTTAACACGTGCTTTGCAAGTCATCCATGATATATGGACCAGGGGGCAGACACTCCAGAAAGAAATTCTTTAGTGCCTCTGCCTCCCCAGCATCTGCATCTTGTTTCCAGGAAACTCCACACAAGATAATGTAATCTCAATCATTCCCCCCTAGCCTGTATTTTTACTGACTGGGTCTTTCTGGGAGAAAAAAAAAAAAAAAGTATGTTGCAGAATGCAGACTCCTGTGCTTATGTGATATCAGCTACTTCATGCTGACATAATGCTCCCTTTCTCTGTCCGAGGGTGGTGACTGTATGGAAGGATTGTCTCTTTCTCTGCCAGCAGCAGACTTGATCCATAAAAGCTTCCCAGCTTTTCTTTTTTGTTATTTATATTATGTATACGAGTGTTTTGCCTGCATATACAAAAGTATACCCATGTAGTGAAATGTGGAGGCCAGAGGAGGATATCAGATTCCCTGGAACTGGAGTTAAAGACCTTTGTTAGCTGTCAGTGGGAACTGGGAATCAAACCTGGGTCCTTTGCAAGATCAGCTAGTGCTCTTAACTGCTAAACCAAAAGAGATGAATGCATAGGCAAGACACGGTGGCCCACACCTTTAATCCCAGCACTAGGGAGGCAGAGGCAGACAGATCCCTGTGAGTTTGAGGCCAACCTGGTCCACATAGTGAGTTCCAGGCCAGCCAGGGCTATAGTGAGACCATGGCTCATACAAAACAAAACAAAAAACAAAAAAAAAGAGGTGTAAGTAGAGGTGATATGAAATCTTTTGCTTGTAGAAGACACCCTTACTGAAGCAAAAGGTTGAGAACTATGAAAGTGTGCACTCCTTGAAGTCAAAGAGCTCTCATGTTTCCTCTTCCTTCCTCTTTGCATCCCTAATGTCTTAAAATTGGTACTAAGTAAATGTTTGTCCTTGAAGAACTTTGTGCTTTTTGTACTCTTGGAGTTTGTCCAAACAAAACAGTGGCTTCTGTGACCCAGAGCATACAAGAGGTAGGAAGGACCTTAAGAACTTCATTCCTGCCTGGGGAGATGGCTCAGTCTGTAATGTGCTTGCCTTGCAAGCATGAGGACCTGAGGATGATCCCTAGAACCATCTAAAAAGGCCAGGAGTGGTGATGTGCTTGTATTCTTAGTACTTGGAATGAGGAGAGAGGCAGATCCCCGGGACTCACTAGCCAGTCAGGCCAGCATAATCAGCAAGTTCCAGACCAATGAGAGATCATGGACGATGGCTTCTGAATCCCCAGTAATATGAGAAATCTGAATATGCAAATTAAGGTGTTGGGAAGGGACCCCTCCACTGGGTAACATGACATTACACCTATTGTGAAGCCTATAAAACTGAGTTTCTAAAGTGCCCACTCACAACTCCCCAACGACCCTATTTTTGTAACTTTAAAACTGTCCTTCACTGGCATGGTAAGCACTGAGAGGGAACTGAGGGTAGTAATCATTTGTAACCATGTGGGTGACTAGATATAGACTAAGGACAAAACAGTTAGCAAAAATCTCTCCAACTAGGTGAGCCTAAATACTAGATTATAAAGTAACCAGGTCATAAAACCTCCAGAACAGAATGCAGGGAGGCTATAGCACATGTAGGTCTCTTGTTGTAAATGCCTTCCAGCTATTAAAAAAATTAACTATATATGTATGTTGGGTGTATGTATACATGGCTGCAAGTACCCACAGAGGCCAGAAGAGGACATCAGATCCCCTGGAGCTGGAGTCACAGGCAGTTGTGAGCTACCTGACATGGGTGCTAAGAACTGAACTTGGGTCCTCTGCAAGAACAGAATGCCTCTTCAACCACTGAGCCATCTCTCTAACTCCTTTTGCTATGCTTTAAATAAACATAAGCAATTAACTTTCCCAGGAAGACACTGTCCCATTTGACTATCCCTGTAGAGTGTCAGTAGCAAAGTTGGCTCAGTACTCAGTATAGTTTGAGCAATACGTATTTAAGAGGGGGAACTCCTGCACAGCCTTGGAGAAGATCTCAAATACTTTTGTAAGGAATTTCTTAGATTAAACACAACATTCTCTGTCTCCTCTGGCCCCAGGTACACCCATATTTCCTAGTGGGCTATTAAGGGTTAGGAACTGAACATTCTGTCCTTTGTATACACAATACAGTGTGCTGTGATGTTCTAATTGCAAAATTCTCTGGAGTCTCAAGAATAATTTCTGGTTCTGGGGGACCACAGTCAAGAGCTTCCTCTTAAGATCACCCCTATCCTGGGCAAAGGCTTCTACAAGGCCTCTACCAGTTTGTTTCCAGGCTTCTTCTGATCCTCCTGGGGGTCTTGTTATGACCAATAAGGGGAATCATGAAGTCTTCTAGCAGGAAAGGGCCTTAGATGACATCTCATGCATCAGTGGGTACTCAGAAAAGTAGGTTGACATCCCCAAATGAATTAGCTGTTGTCCATGTCGCTGTGACCAAAGACCGGACAAGAAGCAGCTGTAAAGAATGGTTTATTCTGGCTCACAGTTCAAAGGGATACATTTCATCATGGCAGGAAAGTCAAGGCAGCAGGAAAAGGAGGCAGTTGGTCACTTTGCATCCATAGGGATCAGAGTGAACAGGACTGGGGACCAGGCTACAAAACCTTGAGGTCCACCCTCAGTGGCCCATTTCTAAAGAACCTTCCTGTCTTAGGAAGTTCCTGTGACAAAACACTTTGACCACCAACCTGTGGAGGAAAGGGTTTATTTGGCTTACATCTTCTGGGTCACAGTTCGTCACTGAGGGAGCACAAGGTAGGAACTCAGGGCAGAAACCTGGAGGCAGGAGCTGAAGCACAGGACATGGAGGAATGCTGCTTACTGGCTTGCTCGCTTGCCCTGTGTTCAACCTGCTTTCTTATACAACACAGGACCACCTGTCAGGGTGACACCACCCACAGTGGGCTGGGCCTTCCAACATCACTCAACAATCAAGAAAATGCCCCACAGGCATGGCCATAGGCCAGTCAATGGAGGAAATTCGCCAACTGAGGCTCCCTCTACCCAGTTGTGTCAAGTTGACACTAAAGCTATCTAGCACAATTGATTCCTTGTCAACTTGACACACAAACACATCACTTTAAACCACAACCTTCCATTTCTTATCTCCAAGATGTTAATATTACTATCATAACATAAAACAGTACAACTTTAAAAGTCCCACAGTCCTTAAAAAAAAATCAAAACACTTTAAAAGTTCAGTCTCTTTTAAAAGTCTTTTAACTGTGGGCTCCTATAAAATCTAAAACAAGTACTATTTTATTTTAAAAGGGAAGAATAGGTATGCTTAAGCAAAACCTAAGTTCAGCAAAGTGGCCCATGTCTGGACATCTGGGATTCACTCATGATCTTCGGTTTTTGGCAGCTCCACTTCTCTGGCTCTGCTGTCCACAGCACTCACAGCTTTTCTCTCAGGCCCAGGCCAGCCCCATTTCACACCTGCTGCTGCCCTTGGTGGTCCTCTTATGGTCCTGGCATCTCCAAAATGTTGGGGTCTCCACTGAAACTGAGGCTGCTCTTTCACCAATGGTCCTTCCTGGCCTCTCAGGGGGTCAAGCCTCAGCTGCTCTCTGTGACCCCTTCACACTTTTGACACTAGAACCATGTAGGAAACTTTTACACATTACCAAGTCGAGCTTCTAGCTTGAGATGAAGGCTCAGGCCCCTCTGGACCATAGCTTCTGTGTTGACCTTGAGGAAATACTTTCCAGAAGGTTTCATCAAAGTGATGCTGGTCTCTTGTTACAGCTGATTCTTCAGCCCCAGCTAACCAGCATCAATTGTCCCAGTAAAACAAAGGCTTATACTTCAGGTTCTGGTCTCCTCTTAATCACAGCTGATTCTTCAGCCCCAGTCAACCAGAACCCACAGATTCTTAATTCAAAATATCATACAAACAACCCTGATAGTCTCTGCTTCCCTTTGAAGTTTCACAAGCACTCAATGGCTTTTCTAGCCCAAAGTTCCAAATACTTCCATAGTCCTCCCCCAAAACACCAAGGTCAGGTCTGTCGTAGCAATACCCCATGATCCTGGTGCTAATTTCTGTCAGTTTGCTTTCAATTGCTGTGACAAAACACTTTGACCAGTACCAACTTGGGGAGGAAAGGGTATATTTAGCTTACATCTCCTGGGTCACAGTTCATCACTGAGAGAGCCTAAGGTAGGAACTCGGGAGGAACCTGGAGGCA